CTCGTGCCACCACACCTTTTTTTTTTTTTTTTTTTTTTTTTTTTTTTGTAGTAGACATGGGGTTTTGGCATGTTGGTCTCAAACTTCTGACCTCAAGTGATCCACCCATCTCCCAAAGTGCTGAGATTACAGGCATGAGCCACCACGCCTGGCCAGGTTATAGTAATTTTGACAGTTACTTTAGTTAGAGCCATGATAATCCCTCCCTCAATGAGATTTACATAATTAATTGTCATGTATCACATTTTGCTTTTAAGGAAGTGTTATTAATAACATGCCTGTAACTTACAGAAAATTTAAGGTAGTTGAGTGCACTAGCTCGGATATACAACTTGACATTATCATTTTGTGTGTCTGGGATATAAAGCATTCTTTTTGGTGAAATATTCAACCTCAACCTTCATCAGAATGCAATTTGAAATACTGGAGGCTTCCTATGAAAAAAGTATTTTAAACGTATACAAATGATCCTTCAGAATAAATTGTAGTGTGCATTTCAAAATTTATAAGGGTTACCCATAATTCTCCACAGCACTGGCCAGGCTTCTAAAGAAACAGTCATGTCCAGCCTATTGTGTTTAATTGATTTCTGAATATGTGAGGCCAGATTTTGGTGAATTTAAAAGTGTCTACCTGCAGTGTGTGTGTGTGTGTGTGTGTGTGTGTGTGTGTGAGAGAGAGAGAGAAAGAGAGAAAGAGAGAGACAGAGAGAGAATATAATCAGATTTTTAAATGCTATAATTATTTATTCTTCCAAGAATGCTTATAGTTAAATATTTGGGTCTTTGTCTAGTAAGTATGCAAAATATGACTTTAAAAAGAGATTGATAGTGTGACACCATGGATGAACCTTGACAACATTATGCTAAGTGAAACAGGCCAGTAACAAAAGACCACAGATTGTGTGATTCCATTTATATAAAATGTCCAAAAAGGGAAAATATGGTCCATAGATTAGTGGTTGCCTAGGATTGGGGGATGGGCAATTGGAGGGAAATGAGGAGTAACTGTTAATGAGGTTCCTTTTGGGGGTAATGAATATATTCTAAAATAGATTGTAGTGATGGCTGCATAACGGTATGAATAAATTTAAAACTTTGAATTGTACAATTTTAATTGGTGAACTATATGGTATGCGAATTAGGACTGTGAAAAGAAATACTTTAGGCAAGTTAAAATTTACAGAATTTAACTGAGCAAACAAAAAAATAGTTTTAAGAACCAGGCAGCCCCCAGAATCAGAACAGATTCAGAGATTCTGGGGCTGACCCATGGTTGGAGAAGATTTATGGACAGAAACAGGAAAATGACATACAGAAAACAGAAGTGAGTATAGAAACAGCTGGGCCTTTGCCTTATTTGAGCAGGGTTTGAATAGCTGGCTGCCTGTGAGTGTGGTTGTTGAAGTATGGCCACTGTGATTGGCTGAGACTCAGCTATTGTTATAGATGCCTACTCCTAAATTAGGTTTTCAGTTTGTTTACCTACCAAGTTAGGTTGCAGTTTATACCTAAGAATTCGAGTATACAAGTACAAAGGCTTTCTCAGGCCAAATTTTAGTTTGATTTAACAGATCTCTGTATAGCTGCTATTCAAAAAGAGGAGATTGACAGAATTAGGCTATTAAGCACAAAGAAAACCATACTAATGAGGATATGACATGAAAGGATCTGTAATTGCAAGGAAGAAACTGAACTCATAGCAATCAAAAGTGCCTTTGGAGATAAAGTCATCCACTTCTTGGTTACCATGATCCCTTTTTTGTCACTGTCACAGAAAGAAGAACATAGTGCTTTAATTTACCACAAAAGAGATGTAAATTAAACATTACAAAAAAAAAAATTTAAATCAAGCCAGAAACAGAACCTAGACAGTTAAAGGTGATATAGTGCTTTTCTGATACTTTTAAAAAGGTTTGAATTACCATATGACTAAATCGGTCGAGGTATTTAAATTATGCCACAGTTTTCATAAATACTTGCAGTTATAAAGATAATTGGACATTGGTCTAAGTAAACAAGAAGTGCCTTAGGAAGTGTCACAGAAGGTTTGAGGATAAGAAGTTTCAGTCTGAATCAACAAACATCTCTTGGATAATTCAGAACCAATAATGTTTTCACTGGTTTGTTTCTTTATCAATCCCATAGAGTCACCTGAACAAGGGTAAAAATAGAATGTAAAGTGACTCATTCAGGGAAGCACTCCCTTTCATACACTGAGCAAGATTATCATAGCATAAATCCCATTTAGTGGTTGGAATAGGGTAGGCCTATCACTAAGTTTAATTAAAGCTTTATAAAAAGTTGTAAATATTTGGGAGTCCTCTGGAAAGGACACCACGTGAAATGAGATCATATGCCTAACGTAATCCTAAGTCAGAAGTTATCAAACTTTACTTGTAAAGGGCCAGATAGTAAATATTTTTGCATACGAGCCATACAGTGCCTGTTGCAACTGCTCAACTCTGCTGTTGTACTACGGAAGCAACCATAAAAAATAAACAGGCTGGATGCGGAGGCTCAGGCTTGTAATCCCAGCACTGTGGGAGGCCAAGGCGAATGGATCACCTGAAGTCAGGCATTTGAGACCAGCCTGGCCAACATGGCAAAACCCCATCTCTACTAAAAATACAAAAATTAGCAAGGCATGGTGGGTGGCGCATGCCTGCAATCTCAGCTACTCAGGAGGCTGAGGCAGGAGAATCACTTGAACCTGGAGGTGGAGGTTGCAGTGAGCCAAGATTGTGCCATTGCACTCCAGTCTGGGCAACAGAGCAAGATTCCGTCTCAAATAAACAAACAGCCAGGTGTGGTGGTTCATGCCTATAATCCCAGCATGTTGAGTGGCAGAGGCAGGTGGATCATTTGAGGCCAAAAGTTCGAGATAAGCCTGGGTAACATCGTGAAACCCTGTCTTTACTACAAAAACAAAAAATTAGCTGGGCCTGGTGGCTTGTACCTGGCGTCTCAGCTAT